TGTATAGTAAGCTCCATCATAAACATTTTCTTGGCAAATTATGCAATAGTTATAAAAAGGTATATGTTGTGCTTAATTTTTGTCCTTGGTGTAAACATCCTTTCCTTTGGTTTTGTCGATGATACAAATGAAAATTGCATTTTGTGTAAAGAAAGATAAAATTTAGCTCCTAGCCTAAGTTATGATGAGATAATGAGTCACTATCAATTTGGCCTCTATTAAAAGTGAAAAAATCAAACTAGCGACAAAACTAAACCACAGCATACCTATACTAAACCCTCATTTTATTTGTATCAATATTACTAGTTTTTCTGGTGTTCACCCATTAGATTCAATCCACTAACAGACAAAGATGGCACCTGCACATTTAGGCTAAGGCACGTGTAGAAAGCAATATTTCACAAAACGACAACATATGTAAGGTTTAAATTTTTCGGATCTTTACCGCTTGTTTTTATGAGTGGTTCCAGGATTTTCTCGCGCAAAGAGTTCTGGTTGAATATACCAGTCGCCATGTTTTTTGGTATGGTGGTTTACAGAAACTGTTATCTGAAGTATCCTTCACCAATATTAATTTTGCGAACTTGTCACTGACAAAGAGCTAGTTCATGATTAGACACTGATCGTTTCATTGATTCCCGTGTTCTACATCATGATTTTTTAATTGAAGTAAAACAACTCCTTCACCATCAGTAATTGCATTAAAGATACTATGTTAGAAATCACAGGACCGTACCCCAAAATTTAATGTTGTCCTCGGCACAATTTCATTTTTAGAGCAAGGCAAAGGTAAAAATCAAACAAGACCACACAGACATCATCACAGAGGCAACATTACTATGTATAATGTTTATATAGTTAGTTACATAAAAGCTACTCTACTCATTAATTCAGTGTTTGTATTCTCCCTCATAGTATCATAATTTTTAGCCAACTCGCTGGGAAATAGTGGCCTAAAATGGACCCTTTTGGACGCCCAGACTTATAAATGTCCAGGAGAAGGTTCCCAAGACTTTGCCATCCAAGTGGGAATAAATGGCTACCACACTGTCATTTTGGTCCCTCCCAGCTGTTCAAACGTTGTCCCTCCTTTCCACAATCTTACCAAAGCTCCCATATGTGTAGTAATAAAAACATTGAAGAGAAGTGTGCTACCTCAGCAAGAGATGATCATGCACACTTTTGAGTGAATCATCCTAGCAGATGTTTGGTGAGGAATTGCATTCTGTGCTCAAAATCTAGTTCACATAGACCAGGGAAAAAAGAATGGGGTGCAGAAGTCATTAAGGTCACTTAATTGCTCCAAGCCAGCTCCAATTCAATACCACTGCTCATTTGGTTAACTTTCTTGCAAATACTCTTTCAGTTTGTTTGGGTTTTCTTGGAAACTCTTCTCATTGGGAAAACTAAGGATAGCTATGCAGCTAGTCTTGAGAAGTTAAATCTATTATCTTTGGAAGACAGAAGAGTTTTAATTGACGTTACTTTCTTTTTTAAGGCACTGAAAGGGTTTGTTGACATTGATGTTTCACCTTTTGTGGATTTTTACTCTAGTTTAGATTATTATTCCTTAACACATTATGATCATCTGATGTTAAAGAAAAAATAGGCAAGGACTAATTCCCTTAAATATTCCTATTTCCGTCGAATAGTAGATTCTTGGAATGTGTTGCCTGTTGACATTCGCACTGCAAACTGTACTGGGAATTTTAAATTTAAAGTGAAGAATTTTCTTATGGGTAAATCATTATTTTATTTTTCTTTATTATAACATAATATCTCATTCGTACTAGATGTATTAGGTGATCTGCTGTTACATGGGGTCTGGGACTCTTTTGCAGACTCTCCTTATTGCATTTTTTTTTCTTAATTAATTAACTGTATCATACCTGCATCCGTGCATTTCTTCCATTAAATTGCAATAAATAAATAAATAAATAAGTATGATATGTGTTTACAAAAAAAAAGCAAAGAAAAGTGAAAAAATATAGGAGTAACAGGATGGCATCAAAGACAGTGGTATATTTTTTTTGCAGAGGGAGGTAGTCTTATTTTTTAATCAGAGATTTAGCCTATGTCTAAGTTTCTACACTTGTTGTTTAGTCTTGTGATTTCTTGCTTTAAGAAGTAAGGTAAAATTGTTTGAATTTGTTTTTTCATTACAGCCACTTGAGTCTGTAAATCGGTAGCAAACACAGAAAAATGATGGTAAGAAACACATTGCTTGCAGTATTAAAGTATTGAAATCAATTTTCAACTGTCCATGTTTGTTATATATAATTGACATGCTTTGCACAGGTGTTGTGTGGTCATTGGAGAAGTTAACTGTATTTCAAAAATTAAATCACTTTGAATTGCAGTGAAAGCTATATTACTTTATTTATAGTTATAAAAGTATCAAAGGTGACCCCTCTGAGAACCTTCCCCAGTGTCTGTGATATAGATGTGTCCAATAAATATAGGTCAGTTTATTAGGAAATGTGAGAAGAATAGTATGCAACTGAAGTTAGGGTTCGTATAAATCCGCCCTAAAAACGAAAAATATACATGACTTTTGTATATCGAAGTGAATACTATGATACACATTGGTTTTAGCCTCCCCGCATCCTCTCATCTTTTTCTGTAAATACCTGGGAGCCAAGCAAACTGGTAACCACCCATATTCTCTCGTTCTCTTCGCTCCGAAGA